AAAAGAAAGCCTTGTGGAAAAAACTGATCTAATTTAATCTAAACTTTTTTAAAATGTATGTTGATAATATTCGCATAAACGGTGGCAATTAATCATTAATCACATCTTAGTGACGCGTCCAAGAAAATGTCAAAATCGTAGATTAAAAACACGAAAAATACATACGAATATATACATTATTTACACAAACATATTTAATACCTATGGTGACATTTCAATCATGTAATTAAAAATATCTTGAATATCCTTAAAAATACCTAATGTTTAAATTTTATATTACTACAGATTAAACACATTTGTTCAAATTATTGTTTCTCAAACTATTCATTACACAAACGACAAATATCTGTGTGTGTGTGTGTGTGTGTGTGTACATAGACAGATATATATTTGTCTAGCTGTGTATCTTGCTCACTGTTTCTCTCTCTCTCTCTCTCTCTCTCTCTCTCTCTCTCTCTCTCTCTTTCACCATCATCCTAACCATCTTCCTCCCCTCTATCCCTCTTCCCTCCCACCCCACCCCACCCCACCTCACCCCTCCCCTCCCCTCACCCCTCACCCCTATAACCCCAACCCCCCCTCCTAAAACTTCTCCAAACTAACGAGGTTCTTTGTGCTCGCCGCCGGGTCCTCGCGTGGGTGTCTCTCCTCCCACATTTTCATCAGTTTGTAGAACGTCGGATGAACGTACATTTTCCCCGATCGGTCAGCTGGCCACGGGTCTGTTCGGCGTCGGGTCAGAGGGATGTTATTTATGTCGTTTTTTTTTTATTATTAGTGCTGTTCTTGATTATTTGTTGTTGTTGTTGTTACTGATATTATATTTTTTTTCAACTGTTATCAGCGAAAGTGTTTGTTACTATGGTTTATGATAATTATTATCATCGTTATTATCATTCATTATTATTATCATTATCATTTTTATTATTATCATTATCATCATCATCATCATCATCATCATCATCATCATCATCTTCATCATCATCATCATCATCATCATTATCATTATCATTATCATTATCATTACCATTCCTATTATTACAATATTACAGAAAATTAAACATATTCCAGATGTGAAAATATCGATAATTACTAATTTCCATATTTGTATTAAATCATTATATTTTCACCTTTCACATTTACTTTTTTGCGATCTTACTCGTTTCACTCTCTTTATCTCTTTATTACAGCTCTTTATTTTTCCTTCCATTCGTGAACTCATTTTCATTATTTTGATAACTAACAACAATAAACATCACCTTTCAAGCTAAATATACACCAATATTTATTTAAGACATTTGTCACTTTGAAATCATCGTTATCTCATAAATATCATAAATCTAAAAAAAAACACTTACTTGTGAAAAGAGAGACGATTGTGCCGACGAAAAAGGTGACAGAAACACCGAAGAGAGAATAGAGGGTATAGGAGACCAAGTAAAGGGGAAAAACGTAGTCACTGTTGGAAGAGAAAACGAGAATTATAAAATAGAGAGAAAATGGGAAGAATCGCTACTTTCATCGTAGAAAATGAGAATTAGAAAATAGAGAGAAAATGGGAAGAATCGCTACTTTCATCATAGAAAACGAGATTTGAAAAAAAGTCGTTTCACTGCAAACGAAATGTTGTCAGTATTACTTTTTAATGAAATGGATGTATAGATATTTTTTTGAAAATCAAAATAGTAAAGACCTCCCCCTACACGAACCATATAAGCAAGATTTATTGCCTTATCGTCTTCTTACAGTACAATAATAAAATAGGTTTATTACGATATCAGTGTCTGTTCTATCACCAGCATTACCTTTGAGATGTGGCACGGGGTAAATCCTACTTTTTTCTAAGACACATTTTGGAGTGTAAGAAATCTCGTGAATACCACCCCAGAACACTATAACCCCCCCCCCCCATAAAAAAAAAATATATATATATATATATACATATATATACATGAATATGTATAAACAAACTAAGTCGTTATAAATAAAATAAAAACAATCCGTCTAGACTCACTCTTCAGGCGTCTGTGTATTATCAGTAGAAGTGAACTCTGTGGTCGTCCAGTCAAAGGGAGTCGTTGTAGTGAGGTCAAAAGGAGTCGTGGCGTTACACCCTTCGTCAGAGAATTCCAGAAAGGGCGTAGGTCTCCCGTAGAACATCGCGCCGATCGTCACCCACAGGTTGAACAGGAGGGAGACGCTGAACCCTACGATGCCGCCCTGCGAAAAAAGAGAGTGAAATAAAGAGATAAAGTGTTTAGGTCCGTGGTAATATTCGAGAAAAAAAAGAGGTAAAGTGTTTAGGTTCGTCGTAATATTCGAGAAAAAAAGAGATAAAGTATTTAGGTTCGTCGTAATATTCGAGAGAAAGAGGTAAGTATTTAGGTTCGTCGTAGTGAGAAAGGGAAATTTGTTTAGGTCCGTGGTAATATTAGAGAGAAAGAGAAATGCGTTTAGGGCCGTGGTAACGTTAGAGGTAAAGGGAAAAGTGTTTAGGTTCGTCGTAGCGAGGAAGGGAAATTTGTTTACGTCCGTGGTAATGTTAGAGAGAATGTGAAAAGTGTTTAGAATCGTTGTAATATTCGAAAGAGAAAAGTAGCGAGGAAGGGAAATGTGTTTCCGTCTGTGGAAATGTTAGAGAAAAAAGAGAAAAGTATTTAGGTTCGTGGTAATATTCGACAAAAATAGAAAAAAATATATATTTAGGTTGATTCTAGAGGAAAAGGAAATTATATTTAGGTTTGTGAAAAGGGTAAAGAAAAAGGGGAAAAATTAGGGTCGTTATGATGTTAGAGAGAAAGAATAAAAAGGTTTATATTGATATTAGAAAGAAAAGAAAAAGTCTATTTTACATATATCTATTTCACATACCTTCATACATCATTGCAAATGATGCATAAATTCCCTTTCACAACCCTTTTATTGCATCAATATAAACAACGGAAATTTAAGTAATAAATAAATAAATACAAAATAGCTCCAACATCCAAGATAGGATTGAGTTGCCAACTAGGGATGAATACCCTAAACCGGATAGGAGAATAATGCTTAAAACTAATCAAATAAGATAAATACTCACGATCTTATTGGCAAAGGGAACACACATGCCCAAGATGAATAGGCCGAGGAGAGGGGCGTGGATAGTCCCGAGGATAGTCTGGCCAACTTGGAATAAACCGCCCATTTGAGAGGCAACCACACCTGCCAAAATTCCCGCCAAACCTGTGATCACGCCTGGAGGGAACGGGCGAGAGGAAGTGTTATTTTTTTATCTCTTTGACACTCTATGTCTATTTATTGATTTGTTACCTCATTATTCAACCTCCTTTGTTATCCCTCAGACAAAGAACGACGCAGAAGAAAAAGAACTCACTGACAAGAACATTAACCAGAGGCTTCCTGTTATCCGCCATGTTGGCCACCCACTGCGAGTTCTTGAAGAAATCCTCCCACATGACAGCTGTCACTGCGTTGATCTGGGACGAGTAGGAGCTGTGGGGAATTGCCATTGTCATCATCGTCTTTCCTATTATCATTATCATCTTTATTATCATTTCTTTTATCATTATTATCCTTATTACCATTACTATTATCATTATCATTATTATCCTTATTACCATTACTATTATCATTATCATTATTATCATTATCCTCAGTATTACCGTTACCATTATAATTTTCATCTCTATTACCATCACCATTATCATTATCATCATTACCATTATGAATATGAATACTATCCCCATTATACCATTAAATTACCACCATAACCATCACCATTACCACTGCTCTATCACCATTACTATCAACACTACCCTCACTACCATCACCATCCCCATCACGCCTCACCTGAGCCCACCAGCGTAGAGAGACGCAATGAAGAGGCCAGGAATACCATGCAGATAGGATAGTCTATCGATGACGTAATGGGGGACTATTTCATCGGGTTTCGAGATCTCTCCAGTGGCCATGGGGTCGCAGTTGGCATACACGGCATAGACGGCGATGCCCATGAAGTTCACGCAGCAGAAGACGGCGATGTTGGCTACCATGTTGAGGTAATGAGCGCTGGCGAGAGAGGAGGGAAAGGGGTAAGGGGAAACGGTAGTTGAAAGTGGGGTTTCTGGTCCGTAGAGTTTTGTGCGCGTGTGGGTGGGGTTGGTGTGTGTGTATGTGTGTGTGTTTATGTGTGCGTGTGTGCGCGTGTGTGTGTGTGTGTGTGTGTGTGTGTGTGTATGTGTGTGTGTATGTGTGTGTGTATGTGTGTGTGTGTGTGTGTGTGTGTGTGTGTGTGTGTGTGTGTGTGTGTGTGTGTGTGTGTGTGTGTGTGTGTGTGTATGTGTGTGTGTGTGTGTGTGTGTATGCGTGTGTGCGTGTGTGTGTCAGTCATTTCATATATTTACTAAGTAAAATACATACATATTAAGACAAAAAATAGGGGAAAAACATCAAAAGTCATGAAAAACACAACAGAAGTTTTAAAAATTCAGTCTAAAAAAGACCAAAACTGCACATAGAAAACGATCATAACAACAACAACAAAAGCACAAAGACAAAAAAATGCAATATATTATAAACTCAAACGCATAGACAACAACAATAACACATAGACAAAAATAAAATCTTAAAACAGCAACAACAAACACGCACACACAGACAACAACCTATCCCCTCCCACACACCCCTCCCCTCCCCTCCCCTCCCCTCCCCCTCCCTCCTCCCTTCCCACACACATCCCTCCCCTCCCCCTCCCCCCTTTCCTCCCACACGCACACCCCACCCCTTTCCTCCCCCTCTTCCCACCCCACACACACCCCTTCCCACCCCCTTCCCTCCCCTCCCCCTCTTCCTACCCCACAAACGCCCCTCCCCTCCCCCTCTCCCTACCCCACAAACGCCCCTCCCCTCCCCCTCCCCCCTTTCCTCCCACACGCACACCCCACCCCTTCCCTCCCCCTCTTCCCATCCCTCTCCCCCCTCCCCTCCCATCCCTACCCTCC